AGATGGACATTTCCCTGCTCATTGCAGGGAGGTTGGACTAGATTGAATTGAAAGATTCTTCCTAACCCAAACTATTTTTCAGTTCTGTGTTTCTACCTTTTTAGCCAATGTGTGATCTTACTCAGACGTTCAGTCACCTAGAATTGTTATCGTACCTGTTATTTTGAGGTGTGACAGTTCTGGCCGACTAAAAATCTTTACTACAGCTTTTCCTTCTCACACATTGTCTTGACTTCCTTCCCTGAGCTCCTGATCTCTGCTGGATGCTGGGGGGGCCTGGCTGTGACAGAAGATGAAGGATGTTCCTCATGGAATTTCCTCGTGGCAAGGACCACAGCAGACACTGAGCATTTTCAAGGTGCTGACATTAAACTCTTGGGCAGGGATTCCTTGTCTTTCTGGCCTGGTGAGGTTCTGCTGATATATATATATATATATATATATATATATATATATATATATATATATATATATATATATNATATATATATATATATATATATATATATATATATATATATTTTGAGGTTACAGGGAGTTTCTGTGGCTAGAATGGGAGGAGGCTATAGGCCCCTTTCTGCCTTAAAATGCCTTAAAATTCTGCCTTTCAGAGCTGCCTGATCCTGGCCCAGCAGTCAATATGGCAAAGGACTTTTTCCTTTCTGATCTTGAAAACCAGATTGCAGTGTGAAGGACTGAATTGATGCCATGGGTATTTTTTGACCAGACCTAAAGTTATTTCTCCAGGAAGAGTGATCTATACCAGGAAACTTGTACTCCAGTCCCAGATGGGCAGCTCTGCCTGCAGCTCATCTCTGATTCAGGTAGTGTTTTACCCTGAGGAGGTGAAAGCACCCAGAGAAGCAGAATAATGCGAGGGAGACATCTGTGTTTCACCACACATTTGGCAAGGGGAGGTGGCAGCAAAAGTTCCCGAGGAGGTTTGTCAGGGTCAGTAACACTCCAGAGATGCAAATCAGCCCAATGGCAGCCTGGCAGTGACTCAACCTCTCCCTGCAGCCTTATTTTTGCCCATGTGTGTGACACAGGCTGCTGCAAAGATGGGTTTCAGTTTTACAGACTTATCACCTTCCTTGGGCCTCTCATGCAGCAGAATGATGAAAGGCAGGAACCTTATGGCAGCTGAATAAAAGTCATATCCCAGGAGCTGTGAAAATGCCCCTGCCTTGTTTTTCCAAGGAGTCCATGAAAGAGCATGGTGACACCTCCTGTCCACGGTGGCTGCTTTCTCTTGGGGCTCTTCAGACATCCATGGCACATGAATCATCCCAAAACCTCACCCAGGGGCACCCAGCATGTGCCCTGTGGGTTTCACACCCTCTGTGGGTTTCACACCCCGTGCAGCTTGTGTTGATGAGATGGGTCCGTGCCTCCTGAGCCCAGCAAAGGGTGGTGTGCACACAGGAGAGGGGCTGCAGAGCCACTCAGCAGCCAGGGTGGGGCCCTTCCCTCAAAGATGGCTCTGCCATCTGATTTCCAAGTTGTATGCTGTGCCTTGTGAAGGAGGCAGTCAAGAGCCTTGAGTTCTCTCAGATAAATGGCTCAGCTCAGAGCACTGTGGCTTGATGCTCCTGAAGCTGCTAATCCTAATTAACAGGCTTTTTCTGAGTCCCTTTTATACCACTCCAGCAGCCCAAGTGGGCTTTAAAGGGAATGGAAATTACCCCATGGAGCGCTCTCCCTGGAGATGTTGCTATGCCGACCTGCTCAGAGCAGCTATTGAGGCTTCCCAGCTCTCCTCCATCCTGCATTGTTCTGACTCTCACCGAGGCTCAGATGGTGCCAGAAGTGTGGCTGGGACAGAGAGGGCCCACAATCTATTATTTACTTTTTCTGGAAGATGTGGGTAGAAGGGGAAAAAACAAGTAGAGAGGGGTAAAATAGTGTCAAGCATCAACAACAACAACAACAAACCAACCTGAAAGACCTGAGAGTCCTTCAGAGAGAAAATTGAGTCAATTTTCTCATGCACAATCCTTTAAAAAAAAAAAAAAAGAAGAAATAACTTTTTCCTTTTTTTTTTTTTTAATTGGAGTTCTGCAGGCAATGATGCATTTCCCCTGGGTTCCTGGGTTTCCTCACCCACTCTGATGGCAACACTGGGAGCAAGGTGTGTCCTACCTCAGCCTTTCACAGCAGGTGCCTCCTGCCCTTTGTGGGCTGCCAGAGGTTCTGTTGGGTGATGGGGCCATTTCTCCATGAGGGGAGGCAGCTCCCATCCCATCCCATCCCATCCCATCCCATCCCATCCCATCCCATCCCATCCCATCCCATCCCATCCCATGCAGGCAGGAGTGTTTGTGTCTCCCTCCTTACTCTGAGGCACATAGTTTGGAACATTTTTGGCCACTCTCATTCTCCTTAAATTCAATCTTCCCAAGGCCTACAAATCTGAGTCATTAAGGGGAAGACAAATTATAATGAATGTATATTAGGAATATAAAAAGTAATGACTTAATATAACTTTCCCTTCTCCCCTTCCCTCCCCGTTCATGACCTCATGTTTTTAACATTTTGGGAAGTGCTAAATCCTGGAGGGATGCACAGTGTGCCAGGGAGAGGTGGAGGCGCTCATTTGTGGGGTCTCTGCCCCAGGGCACCCAGAAAGCATCACCTTCCCTCCCTGTGCCTCAGTGGTAAATAACAACACCTCCCATGGCACTCAAAAGTGGGAAAGAAAGGGATGAAATGATTAAAAGGGTAAAGTGACACAGACGTGGCTGTGTGGGCCCAGGGACAGGAGGGTGGCTGTTGGGTGAGGCCTCCTCCAGAGCTGGGGTTGTCCTTTGGGTTGTGATTGCTCCAAAAGTCACCAGCATGAATGGAAATATAGAAAGGCTGAAATAAACTCCACCAAATATTGCTGCCAAAGCCCCTCCACCCCAAGACACTGGGGGAAACATCAGTTATTTTATTTACAATGGCAACAGAGTGAGGGGGACAAGCAAGGCCTTCTCCTGCTTTACAAAGAATGTCTTTGAGTGACTGAGACTGCTCCTGAGCAATGCTGACTTGAAGCAACTTCTGCCTTTCTTAAAGCAAAACAACAAATCCAAAAATATCCACCACCCATCAAAAACATCAGTGACATTTTCCCCTACTTTCCAACAAGATCGTTTTCTCTGGAAATAAATAAGTTAACCAGCTCCAGTAACCCCATCAGGAGGGGTCCAGGGGACAATTGTCACCCCTCTTACGAGGTGTAGATAGACAGTGGTAAGGATGGGCAGTGTATAATGTTGTTTATTATGTATAATAAGAAGCATCCACAAATCTCAGTTAAGGACCAAGCCCCAGAGTGCCAGCCCCTGTACAAACACACAGTAACAGAATCCCTGTCCTGAAGAGCACACAGGCTAAAAATGGTTCCTTATGTGGCATAATTTGGAGGGGAAGAATAGGAATTGGAGGCAGAGAAATGAAAAATCAACCTTCTTCCTGATTTCCTTTTATATTCCAAAGAAAGGCCACAAGACATGAATGCTGAGATCATAATTTCCAGTCCCCATCATTAGGTATGAGGCTAGTAGAGTGATAGAATCACAGAATCACTTAGGTTGGAAAAGACCTTTTATGATCATTGTGTCCAAATGTAAATCTAACACTGCCAAGAGCTCCATTAAACCATCTCCCCAGGTGCCACATCTCCACATCTTTTAAACACCTCCACGAACAGTGACTCCACCACTTTCCTAGGCAGCCTGTTCCACAGCCTGACCACCCTTCCAATGAAGAATTTTTCCCCAGTATCCAACCTAAACCTGCCCTGGCACAACCAGAGTATGTTTTCTCTTATCCTGTTTCTTGTTATCTGGGAGAAGTGACTGACCCACCCCTCATCACACCCTCCTGCCAAGGAGCTGTAGAGAGCAGTAAGGTCTCTCCTGAGCCTCCTTTTCTCCAGGCTGGGCCCCCCAGCTCCCTCAGCTTCCCCCATCCTGGATTGCCAAGCAAAATGAATTGTTTGCCATCTGTATGGCAGCTGTCCTCTGTTCATTGGGCAGTTTTCCTTATCTCTTCCACACCCACTCCTCCCTGGGAGGGGGCATCTGCTGATAACAGACTATTGAATGTCACTGCATGGCTGATAAGAACTACAGCATCCCACTGGGAGATGTGAGCCCAGAGGGAGGAGCCAAGCATTCCTACCTGGATATAATCTGGAGACTCTGGAACACCAGCACGGCTTCTCCACTGGGTTCCCCAGAGGAACAGCAGCTGCCTTTTCCCTTGGAATTTCAGAGGAAGAGACTACAGGATCCCTGCTCCAACAGAACCACCCCTGACACTGCAGGAGGGCTGACCCACAATTCCAATGGGACTGCTGCCAACACCCTGACCCACAGGGTGTAAGGCTGGGTTCTGACTCTGTCAGTGTTGTTCTAGTGTACTGCATTGTTTATTTTATCCTTTTATTTCCTTCCCTATTAAAGAACTGTTATTTCCTGCTCCCATATTTTTGCCTGAGAGCCCCTTAATTTAAAATTTATAGCAATTTGGAGGGAGGGGGTTTACATTCTCCCTTTCAGGGGGGGCTTCTGCCTTCCTTAGCAGACTCCTGTCTTTCTGAACCAAGATATCCCCTCATCAGGCTTGTGCTCCAAACCTTCCAAAACTGACCTGAGGAGCTGAGGAGTGGCTTCACCATGCCCAGCAAAGAGGGGCAGTCACTGCCCTGGTCCTGCTGCCCTGGGTGTGTTTGTCTTCCATGGCAGGGGTGGGAATGGGACTGGCTGCTCCCTGGGAAGGGGAGGCAGTAGTTGAGGGAAGGGTTTGGTCTGTGTCTAATGCCAGCCTAGGAGAGCACAGAGAGACTCCCAGGGCCATGCAGAGCAGGGCAGCTCACAGCTACTGGATGTCTCTGTGCCCTGAGTTCCCTCCTGATAGCTGGAAAAATCCATTCTAGAAGGAAACTGGAGCCTTGCAAAGTCATTCCAAAAGAATGGCAGATTTTTCTTTTTGGCTTTTCTTAGCGTTCCTTTTTTTTTTTCCCTTTTTTTTTGATACTATAGAAAATTAAAAACATGATTGAATTTGTGCATGCCTTTATTTATTGTGCTATGGATGATGGGCACAGACTTCCCTAAGCCAAAAAGCCCCCTCCCTCCTCCTTCCCCAGCCTTAGTAATCAGCTTCCTTGTGCTCCAGCCCACGCTAGACTATTTTCCTCTGTCAAATCCTCCATCATTGGTTCAATTACCTAGGTGTATGTTGGCTTTATCTTTTTTTGGTGAAATCTTACAATCTTTCAAGTCTACTTTGTCCTCTTAGGTTTTTGTACACCCCGTTTCTCTCCTGGCTGATTTTGTAAAAGGTCTAATTTCAACAAGTTGCTGCTCTCAGGGCTGAGCTCTGTTCTCCAGTGCCCATGACAATCATTTGTGTTCACCAAGAGCTTCGAAGCCACAGCAAATTGCAGCTGTTCGGGCTCTGTCGCACAGGGCTGTTAATTTTTCCCTTCCCCACTTTGCTCCCTGTGCTCAGCGCAGCCTCCAGTGCCTGAACACCGTTCAAGGCACCATCCTGTTGGGGAGGGATCTGGCACAGACCCTGGTTTGCCACCGGGGCGTCCCCTCCCACACAGCCCCGACAGCTGCCTGCCCAAATGTGAGGACGTGCTTCACTCAGAGCCTGCCGTGTGAGCCACTTCCAATCCAGGATGCTCTTTCCTTTTGGCTCCCCAAAGAGATCACAGGACCCTGTTTAATCCAGCTCCCTGACGGTGTAGGGCTGAGTCATAGGAGGTTTTTCTGTTGCTACATCTAATAACGCTTTGCTACTGGGAGCAGAACATCATCCAGCTTGGCTGGGAGTCGGCACTGTCACCCAGCAGCTTCCCTTGTCTGCAAGTTGTTTTGATTCTTTTCTTAGACTTCTCCCTCTCTGTGTCTTTCTCTCTAAAACATTAATTTCCTCTAATTAGAGCCTCCTTAACAATTCTTTTTTTCCCCCCTCTCCTCAGTTAATTTCCTCTAATTAGAACCTCCTTAATAATTCTTTTGCTAAATCAATTTCCTCAGTTAGAACCGCCCGCCACAATTTCTTTCCTCCCTTTCAAAAGCTGTCGGAGTAGCTAAGCAAATTATGCTTCTGAGTAACCTTTATCTCTTGCTTGGTATTTTAAAAGAACTGTAACAGGTTAGACAGGCACAATTTCCCCTTTCAGAGCTCTGCTGGTCTGACCCCATTAGGTTATACTTAGCTGAGTGTTGTACTATTGTATACTTAATAAGATGCTCTAGCTGTTCATCTGGAACCCAGGTAAGGCTGCATTTGTGAATGAATTAAACATGACACTTCATTATTCAGATCAAATTTAACAGTGTCAAAATCCGTCTTTAAACCAGACCAAATTGCTCTCCAAGAATATATAAAACCTCCTGCCCCTGTTAGCTGTCCTGTGAGCCAGCCTTTCCTAACTTTTCCTCTGCAGCCATGCTGGCTTCCTTTTCCTGACAAGCCTTTTAAGTCCTAATTTTTTTTCTAAAACATGCTGTTTTTCAAAAAAAGATCTTTTTGTTTCTAATTTACATAGTAAGTAACTATTAATGGCCCACTGCTTCTCACAATCATGCTGTGGGCCACATCAGCAGCTGGTGTAAATGGGGAGGCAACCAGTTGACACATTATGAACCTTGGGCCTCAGTTTCCTCTTCTTTATTATGCAGTTTCTCCCCAGCTGAAACTGTGTAATGCATTTCTTCATCTCTTTCAGATGGGACCATCTCACTACGCTTGTCCTTCTTGAAATCCATCAAGGACAACTCACTCCATTTCCTGATTTTATGAGGAAACAGGCCAAGTGATGATGGCAACTGGGAGGAGCCATCCAGTTAGAGTGAAAACTCTTGTTTTATGCAATTATGAAAAAAATAAAATAAAGAAAGGAACACATCTGAGCAGCAGGAATGCACTGGAAGCTGTGTGTTCCCTTTCCTATACCCCTTCCTCAGGTTGGCACCGAGCAGCCAGCACAGATCTGATGGCACCAGCGAGTGTCACTGCCAGGACAGCACTGCCCCTCTGTGATTCACAGCCCAGAGAGAACTACCTCACTACAGGCTCAGGAGGCTTCTTCTGGCCCTTCTCACAAGGACTTCCCCCCTCTTTTGGCTATGCCCAACTGCAGAGCCTGTTCTGAGTCCTGGTCACACATCAGAAATGTCACCGTGGGCCCTGAAGAGCCTGCTCCAGCGAGGCAGGTGGGCCCTTCCAACTTGGAAATGCTTTCCATCCCCGTGGGGTGGGAATGAGCAGTGCCTCAGTGGGAGGGTGTCCTGGAGTGATCCGTGAGGAATGAATGCTTCAGAGATGCTCTGTGGGGAGCTGGGGGAGGCTTGCAGCAACTCCATCCTCGTCAGTGCCACCATCAGATGTCTGGGCAGGCCCAGAACGTTTCAGCCAAGCCCAGCTACTGTGGGAGAGCTGCACTGCTGTCCTTGGCCACACTATTTCCTCCTGACCTTTCTGAGCTTCTGGCACCCCACAAAGTCTGCTCTGGTGGAAGTGGTGCAGAAGTCGTAAAATGTATTTTATTTCCTTTGCAGTCTTAATAACTATGCAGAAAACTCCATTTGCCATCACTTGCCTTGAAATTTCAGAGTAGGACTGGATGGAAAAATGAAATGCATTAAGGGGTTTTTTTTGACAAAATCCCTAATGCTTGAGATGGAAATTTTGGGTAATTTTACAAGGAGTACAATGCTGGTGGTGTTGGAGAGAGGGCTGTCTGGGGAAGGGTAGATTCTCTAAAAAGATATGTTAGAAGGCTAAAAAAAAAAAGCTGTTTGGTTCTTCTCAGAAGAGATGAGAGAGCAGGGAGAGGGAATCACCAGGTCGGGGTGCTCAGACTGACAGCTGACTACAACAGGAGAGATGCTGTTCTCTATGCTCCTCGAGAAGCTCCTCTCGCTGGTGCCCTGCCCGTTCCAGCTGAGCACAAAGGAGGGCTAGAGATACAGATAGGCAATCCAGTAGACGATGTTGAAGAGCAGGAAGGCGGTGGGGAAGAAGACGCGGGAGTAGGAGTCCAGGCGGGATATGTGGATGCGGACCCGGCCCTCCCGCCACATCCCCGTCTGACAGTCCTCGATGCAGCAGAAGAACCTCTCACACTCCTTCCCCTCCAGGCACGGGGAGCCGGGCTCGTCATCGTCATCCTCCTCCATCTCCGGGGGCCAGTGCATGATGTGGTTGATGTTGATGGCGGTGAAGGTCGGCATCACCTGTGCACCCGCAGGTGGCTGTGGGGGGACAGGCAGGTTAAACGGGAGGAAAAGGCAGCAAAATGTGTCCTGGACATCAATCCCCACCCATGTGGCAACAGATCAGATCACCAAGGGTGCAGTTCAGTGGAGGGGGATGACTGATCATCCTCAGTTTATGCACCTGGCTGTGAATCACCGCGTTTGGGGAGCTGGCAGCTCCCTGCATGACTGTGAGTGTTCTCCCTGGCACCCCAGGGCACATCCCTACTCAGCAAAGGTCTGATTGCACTGATTGCCCATCTGTGCCAGTAATAGTCACTGCAGGAACACGACCTGTTCGATCTGTTCTGGCCTCTTCCCTCATTTCCCTGAGCTCAGCTGTCTCTGAAGATACAGCACACAGCACAGATGTGTCTGCTGGTTGCTGCCTGGTACTGGAGAAGAGCTAGGGAAAGGCTGTGTGTGACTCCTCCTGGCCCATCTTGAGCCTCATGAAAGAGCTCTGTCCACCCTAGGATATGAGGATGGGATATCAGGGGTATGGGGGATATGCTGGGAAATGAGCCTGGCCCAGAAGAGATATGTCTTTTTCTGTTTCAGTTCTGCCCCAGATCGGAGACCTCCTTCAGTTCCTGTGCCAGAAGTACCTGCCTAGTACGAGCTAGGGCAGATCTCATGATAGAGGATGAGGATGAAGAGGATGATGACCACCATGGGCTCACTATCCTCACACTCAGGGGAAAACACAAAGAAAAGTCAGTTTCTGCATCTCTGTGACCTGAGATACCTCTGTAATCCACAGATCAAACTGATACAGGTGTTTTAAAGTGTCATTTCCATTCAGTCATGTGAGTCATTCTAAACTGTTCTGATGAGCTCTCCAGCAATTCTGAAGAGGGCACAGCATACCTGGCTCTGACAGGGGCTTCCTTGTTCTAAGGGAGCCTCAGCTGCTTTTTCTGGCTGTGTCTCACCCCTTAGACCCACTGGGTGAACTCAGTATGGGTCAGGCCCTAAACCACATCAGCAGTTTCCAGTGCAGGCTCAGGAAGGACATTTTTAAATAGCTTGGGGCTGTAGCAGCATCCAGCTCTGCTGGCCGCTGTGACCTACCAGCCTGGCTTTCCTGTGGCTGTGCTCCAGGGGTTTCTTGTTCCCCACCAGGTAGTTGAGCGTGGCGTACTCCATGAGAGCAGCAAAGACGAAGATGAAGCACACGGAGACGAAGAGGTCCATGGCAGTGATGTAGGAAACACGGGGCAGGTGCTTGCGGGAGATGGTGCTCAGGGTGGTCATGGTGAGCACAGTCGTGATACCTGAGAGAGAAAACAGCTGGCTGAGTACTGACGATGAGCACATCTGTCTTCTACACACATCCACCCCTCAGAACAGCCCCGTTTCCCATCTGCTGTGTTGTCTGGTCCCATTCTGGCTCTGCTCAGCCAGGCTCTGGTCTTGAGGAACCCTCTGACAGTGCTCTATGAGAAAGACTGATGTTCAAAACTCAGTATTGTCGCAGACATCTTTTAATGAAAATCCTTTCCTTAGGATTTTTTCCTCCTGAGAAGCTGAGAGGCCTCAGGAACAAAATGTAAACAATGATTATCTGCTGCTGTGGAATGCAACAGGTGCAGCTGTGATTGGTCTCATGTACATGTTTCAAATTAATGGCCAATCACAGTCAGCTGGCTCAGACAGAGAGTCTGGGACAGCTGCCTTTGTTATTCATTCCTTTCTATTCTCAGCTTAGCTAGCCTTCTGAGGAGAACCTTTTCTTCTATTCTTTTAGTATAGTTCTAATGTAATATATATCATAAAATAATAAATCAAGCCTTCTGAAATATGGAGTCAAATCCTCATCTCTTCCCTCATCTGAAAACCCCTGTGAACACTGTCACACAGTATCACACAGACCATCAGTGTGGACTGGTAAATGAGCAGGAAACTCAGACTCTGCATGAGGCTGGGTTGGTCGGGCAGGGCTTGCCCTCACACCTCCTGTCCTCCATGTGCCTCCGCACAGCTTCTAGAAGGATCCACAATCTTCCCAGGCATAGATGGGAGGCTGACAGGTCTGTAGTTCCTGGGACCCTCCTTTCTACCCTTTGAAGAAATGGGTGCAATATTTCCCCTTTTCTGGTTACTACCATGACTTTTCAAGGGTCATGGAGAGTGGCTTGGAAACCACATCAGCCATGAACTGGGATGTATCTTGTCAGGTCTCATAGATTTATGGATGTTCAGGTTCTTCAGTTGGTCTCAAAGCTGATCTTCTCTTGCAGTGAGAGGGACTTTGCTGCTCCAGTCCCTGTCTTGCAATCCACCCACTGTGCAATGTGGGGAGAGAGGCTGCCAGTGGAGACTGAGGCAAAAAAGTACCCCAGCCTCCTTCTCATCCCTTTTTTACCAGTTTGCCAGCTGTATTCAACTTGCTTTACCTTTCCTTTTCTGGCTGACAAACCTGGAGAAGCCTGTGTTAGTATCCCCTGCATCCCTAACCCCATCCCTATACAACTGGCAGTGTCCCTGTACTCCTTCCAGGATACCTGGCCCTGCTTCCACTGCCTGTGCATTTCCTTCTCACCCTTTAGTCTGACCAGAAGCTCCTGGCATATCCATGCTGGTCTCTTGCCTTCCTTTCCTGGTTTCTTACACCTGGGGATTGAGAGTCCTTGTGCTCTTTGGAAAATGTCCTGAAAAATCTGCCAGTGCTGTTCTGCTCCCTGCTCATCAGGCAGCCCTGTAGTAGATACCAACCACAAGGTTCCCTTTATTGCCTTGGTCTGATTTCATAAATTTCCAATCTGCTCCTGGCTATTCTTCAGAGACAGCTCTTCACAATCTATCCATCCCTTGATGCAGAGGGCAAGTGTGTAGGAGGTGATAAGGAATTTCTTTTGACATGAGTGGAGCTTGGAATCGTTTTTGCAGGAGCAGCAGCGCTCACGTTTCTGCTTCCAGAGATGAAGTGTCAGCAGCCAACAAAGGATCAGCTACAGGAGCTGGTCCTGTGATCTCATCCACTGATTTTCAGGATGTGGGGAAGAATAAGGAAGTCCACCTGTTGTTCCTTCTCTAGCACCCACCTAAATCCACCTGCCAGCCTTCCCTGAGGTCACCTCAGTGGCTCTGGGGTGTCAGGACCCAGGACATCCCTCCGGCTGTCCAGGATGGCCAGGGCCCTGCCAGGAGGCTCAGACACCCTGGCACAGAGCCCAGAACACCTGTGGGATTGATTATGATCCGTGGAGCAAATTACCAACCTGAGATGAAGATCAGCAAGCCACAAGAGTTTAGGCAGAATAATAGTGAAGTTATCACAGAGTGGAAAAGCAGACTTTGGGGTTTTTGGTATGGGGGTTCAGGGGGCAAGATGGAGGGAACTGGGCATGTCCAGCCTTTCTCCTTCTTCTTCCTGGCCTCCATCTTCTGCTGTGATGCTGGCACTGACAGATTGGTTTAGAGTAGAAGCTCACTGTCTAACATAGGTGATAGGTATTGGAAGGTAATTGTAAACATTGTAGAGGTAGTTTTTAGTATAAAGATATAACACTGCCCTGGGGGCAGGCAGAGTGCCTGAAACTGTCCTGCTGGACAGATCTTAACAGGGCAGGAGAAAATATTTTATAGATAAGGCACAATGAACAACCTTGAGACCGAGAAATGAAGAGCCCTGACTCCTTCTTCAGTGCCGGGCTGGGAAAAGAGACTTTGGAACTCTTCTTGGGGTCACTGTGCCCAGCTAAAGATCCTGACACTGGGGGAGAGTATGGCAAAAGATTTTCATGTTTTCCTGCTGTACTTGCAATAGCAGATGTGATGTGACTTCCCACGTTTTTGCAGTGCCAGTGGAACTGGTCCAGTTCACATCTCCCTGATGTAGGCTGGCAGGCTCAAAATGTGCTGGGGATGATTTGTGTAAAGCACAAGAGGGGCTGTGGAGAGAATACATTATTCTTCATGGGCTGCAGTCCCTTCCCATAGAGAGGGGCCCCACTCCTGGGGAAACCTGCCTTTGTTTTTGAGACAGTCACTAGAGCTGTGCACATTTTCCTCTTGCTGTTCACTCCTTTACCAGCCACAGACTACAGCACACCCTCACCTTCATTGGGAATGACACCCTCCTCCTCCTCCTCCCTCCAGGAGCACCGAAGTAATTAATTTTGAGAGGGAGGTGGGGAGACATGGCCATCACGGATGGGCTCTGAATAGCTGATGGCCCCTCCTCTCCCCTCCATCCCCACAGGGACCTGCAGGCAGGGCTGGGAATGCTGTCTCCAATTAAAGGCAAAGTCAGCGGGGCTGATAGGAAGGACAGCACTGGGAATCACAGCTTGCTGCAAAATGCAGATACAGCCAAAACCTACTGAACACTGCAAAGATGTCCCCAGCACCCATCAGAGCTGCATTCAATCAACAGAAATGTTTCTCCTGCCTCAAGGAGACACTGCAGTTTGCTGAGAAAATCTCAACAATAGGCAGAGCTGCTGTCACTCCCTGGGTCCTGTGGGGTGACTGACAGAAAAAGGTTGTACCTACAGAGCTTCTAGCTCCTGCCAGAGCCTGGGGCCCTGTGGGTGCAGCCAAGCAACTTTGCCCATTAACCCTACAACCTTCCTGTCAGCAGCCCTGCACAGAAGCCTTGAGAGGTTGTGAGGAAATGTGGAAAATGTGCATGTGACAGGAGCCCTTTGGGCAGCACTGAAATGCCACAGCTCAGCCCCTTTCTCCCCCTTTTGGTGCATGAGAATATCCCACTGTCAGCTTGGAAAAGTGTTGCAAAGTATTTGCAAATGTGCACCAGCCAAGCTACTTCTAAGTTTCTTATCAAAACCTCAAGAATTCGTCAAGACTATTAGAACAAAAATTGTGCTAAATTAAGAAAGAAGAGGCTGAGAAACCAAATACCAAGACCACAAGAAGTAGATAACAGAAGACTAAAACACCTAGATTGTAACCAATCATATACTCCAGGAAATACAAACAGAAAACGAGTGAACAAGACAAAAGCACCAATCAAAAAGTGTGTACTTAGTAGTTTATAAAATCTAAAAATATATATATAATGTAAACAATTAACAGCTCCTACTTAATAATATTAATCAATTGTTCAAAAGTCCTAGATTTCCCACAGAAAAGGCTGTGCTTGGGTTTCAGATGAAGCCATAACAGAAGAGCGAGGTGCTCTCCTGAGATAATCCAGCAGCCCAAACCAGTACAGCTGGAGATGTAGTTGATCTGTGGAATGTTACACACAGGAAGCTGAAGGAGTGAAATACTCTCTGGTAAGCTCAAAAATGCCAGAAAATGGCAAAGTGCTTCGGGAGGTTTTGTAGTCCAACACTGGCAGTCTGCTTGCCTGGCAGGGTTTGACAAGCATCAGACATGCATCATCCTGTCTCTTACCCAGAGATGTCCTGGCTGGCGTAGAGTCTCTCTTGATCCAGAAGGAAACCCAGGAAAGAACAACAGTCAGGATGCAGGGAATGTAGGTCTGAATGGCAAAGTAACCCATACGTCTGCTCAGGTCAAAAGAAACTGTCATCACCATGTACTCCCCTAGGAAAAAGCAACAGACATTGGCATCACAACATGAGGCTTCCTAAAGCAGAACAATCAGCAAAGTTTCAGAATTTAGGAGTTTCTGATGAGGATTTTTGTTGCTTTAAGTGCCTGTCCATCTGGTTTTGTAGCTGCCCAGACTGTTAACTTCACATGGCTGGCTGGGCAGGTTTGGTGACTCTCTGGTTTTGTTGGCAGTGGATTCTGTGGCTACATGGCTGGCTCTTTAGCTGCCTTTGTGACTAATTTAAGAGCTGACTTTGTGGTTGCCCAACTGGCTGTTTGCCTGGCTGTCCATATGGCCACCAGGCTGCATTCATACTGGCCTGGCTAAGGACAGTGAAAAGCACGCAGTCTGGAAAAATTTCAGGGAAGAAGTGCAGAGAGCATTTATCTTCAGCTGATTGCTGCAAGGGTTTCTTTTCTATAGAAGCTCTTTGGCTGTAGCAGGCTGCATGGCCTGGCTTGCTAACGATCTACCTGAGCTGTGACAAAGGAGGTGTCCTTCAATCACTTCCACTGAGAGTCTGCTCCTGCCTCTGGAAAAGGCATGTGGTGCTGCACATCCTAATTGCTCATTTGGCAACTTACAGTGGTGGCTCTTCCTTTTTTCTCACAGTGAGTATTGGAAAAAAGCCACCTGACAGCTCTGGGGTTAAGATGGAACTTGCAAGCAATTACCAAAAAAAAGAGAATTACAAACATCAGAGGGCCACTGGTGCATTCAAGACACTTTCACTTCTTGTCCCAGTCTGTGCTGCCTTTCTACCCTGGCTGCCACTGTTGAGAGCAGCAGCTTCCTGCAGAGTGGGAGAAGCTCCTGGCTGCTTCAGAGGGCTGCAAAGTATGAGCTCAGCCCACCTTCAGCAATCCAGAGGCTTCCCTCAGTTGGCTGTGGGAAGGAAAGGGGATGTGAGCTATTATGAGGAGGAGGAGGAGGAAGAGCTGAAGGGCTTCCATTATTTAGATACACATTATTTAGTTCCTTCACACATGCAGCTCCATCTTTTAATTTTTAGCTTTTTCCTCTAACCATGCTGTTGTAACCTCCCACCAAAGCACAGCACAGTGGAAAAATGAAATGCATTAAGGTTTGCATGGGCTGCCTCCCCTTGGCTCACCTGCCCCAGTCCTGAGGACTTCTGAGGTGTTCCTCAGCCCCGTGAAGTCGAACTGGTAGAGCCTCCATGTGCGCTGGTCAGACACCTCGATGGAGTAGCGCCTCCAGCGATAGACGATCTCCTCCCGAGGGTATCCATCTGGGAAAAGCCATCAGACAACACAGTGCCACCCATCCCCACCCTGGGCACCACCCTGACTGCAGAAACACGGGCATCTCACCAGAGCTGCTCTGCAAACACCCTTCAGCAGGTGTTTCTGGTGCCTTTTGTTTAGATTCCCTGAGGCATTCCCACATGGAATGGGAGTAGGGACGGAACCTCCCCTCGTGGGCTGCTTCAGATCCTGGGGATGGGGAAGGCACTGCCAGAAACAAGGCAGTGCCAGAAACACAGCCTTTCTAAGGACTGCACTGGATGTGGGTTGGTCCAAGAGGACTCTGCTGGTTTGAGGCAGAACTCGATTGAGGGTGGCAGAGCAATGGAACAGCGTGCTCGGGGAGGTTGTGGTGTGTCCCTCCCATGATTCTGGAGTCAAAAGTCTGGATTTCATCCCCACCTGGCTGCATTTCTGTGTAACCTGCTCTAGGTGATGCTGCCTGCCTGTGGGGCTGTTCCTAGATGATCTCCAAAGGCCCCTTCCAGCCCTGACTCTTCTGCAGTTCTGTGACTCCACCAGCCTGAAATCTTTCAGGGTTTGATCTCCCTGGGGCTGCTGGCACCTCATGAGTGCCATCCCAGCCATGAGTACACCAGGAATACAAAGCTGCCAGCATGGCTCTGTGTGCTCCCTGGGAGCTGATCTATGGAAAAGAAGGGATGCACTCTCCATGGAGAAGAAAACCTGGCCCTGCAGGCTGCAGCACAGCTTCTCCTGCCTCTGGCTTTCTTGATAAAGAAACAAGCCTGCAGTGAAGCTGGGACCTGGGAGAAAGTCCCTGGGAGGAGGATGGAGTAAGAGCTTGGCAGCTAACTAACAGTGTGTTTCTAATTATCAAGCATGTACAGCATGCAGCACTAATTAGCAAAGATGAGGGGTGGTGGGAGATGAAGGGATGAGATCTCCTCAGCATGCTGCCTCCTTCTGAAGCACCTCAGAGCTCTGAGCTGCATCTCTTCAGTGGCAGGGGAACAGGAGAACCCGAGCTCAGATGATTAAATCACATTTCCCACCCACGCACGAGGAGGACAGGGATCTCTTGGTGCAGAAAGGCTCCCTGCAAAATTAACATCAGAAGCCTTCTCTGCTGAAGAGTCTGGATGAGTAGTGACTGAGAGGAGAGGTCTGAGTAACCCTCCTTTGGAGCAGAATGTTTCCAGACCTCACCCAGGGAGTGGGAGAAGATGCAAGGCAGGATGCTGCCATTTGTCCACCAAAATACATCCATGTTGTGTCTAGAGTGACCAGAAGGTCAGTGAAATAATCTCCTCCAACCATCCACCCAAATTAAGGAGAAACTCAGAGATGTTGTGAATCTGTCCCTGATGATCTCTGCTAGCCCATGAGTAGGAGATGCTTCAGGTCATGAAGGGTAATGGCTCAGGAAGGGTGCCATAAAAATTAGGTGAAAAAATGTAGCTAAAAGGGAGGGTGGCTTCCCCAGAAAAGAAACCTCCACTGAGGTTTCTCTGCTCGCCTTCTAAAGCTGTCTTTGAAATATGTATACTCACAGCTGGAAAAAACCAAAGGGCAGGAGTGAGTGTCCATTGGGAAATTCTGCAGCTGGAGCAGACATTCAGCCTCGATTGTCAGCCTGAGACAGGGGGAGAGAGAGAAAGAGATTTTGAGCTGGTGAAGATGGTTTGGTTCCAGCACCTAAATGTGACAGAGGCATTCTCACTTCCTTGAGAACTAATTTGCTGAAGATCAGCCTGTTTGCAGGAACATTCCAAACCAAAAATACATGTTTGGATATTTTCAAGGTGAGGAAAAACATGTAAATTTCACCTTCAAAAAGCCCTTCTGTTTAGTCAACTTTTCAGATCCGTTTATGAAAGTGAGAAGTTATGGGAACAAAGAGCCAAATTATCTTTGTATTTATCTATCAAACATCTATTAACAGAATAAAACAGCTGGACTGACCAAGTGAACATTTTAAAGGATTTTAGTTTAGGGAACCACTTGACCATCTCTTTGTCATCAGACCAGAGGCTGCTGGATGTACCTGAGAGTGTAGAGCACTTTTCCATCATTCCAGATGCGGAGGAGCTGATTGGGAGTGGTTATCCAGTGGGAATCAGCCCGTTTGGAGTTCCTGAAGAAGGTGTCAGGGATCCAGATGCGGCTCACCATGTTGGTGTTCAGGGTCAGAGCCTTGAGCGTGCTGTTGAACCGCAGGCGCCGGTCGTACCACGTCTGGGCAAAGAAGATGTCAATGGTGTATTCCTGGGGAGGACAGGGGAGAATGGGATGTTCTGAGAGGGATTCAGGCCAAGCAGAGCCTGCTCCTCTGCTCTGCAGGCAGAACATTGATGTTCTCAGTCCGGGAGCAGGTGCTGGTGGCCTCTGACACCTTTCCAGGCGCACCAGCAGCTCACAGCCAGGACATCCATGGTGTAGCCCCACATTTCCCTTCACAGAGAAAAGCAAGGCACAATTCTTCCCAAGAATATTTCTGGGATTCACATTCTCTGAACCTCAGAGAAAGAAAACAGAATTCTTATCATTTTCTATGCCTGTGTTCGTGCAAAAGTAGAATGCAGCATGGAGATTGTTTACCCACAGGGGTGGAGTTTTGTTTCCTTGGCCTGGCAGGGCCAGGTGTGTGTGTGTGTTGGGACTGTTGAGTGACAGTCACCAGACTCAGTGCAGTGTGTGCAGGGTTGAGTGCTTGGCAGATACACTTTCAGATGTATAGGATAATAAAGTATAATAAAGTAATTAATAAAGTAATTAATTAGCCCTCACAGCACTCTATACCATGACTTAGGAAGAGCCAAAGACTCTGTGTTCACTGCTGGGCTCAGCCTGGCCCTTGCCTGGAAAACCAGGACCATACAAACAAGACCTGAGCTTCCTCTTGGCAGACAGCTCAATACTCATTTTAGGCACAGGCATGAAGGGGCAGTGTGGACAATGACTGAATCCAGCCTTAAGTTCAGCTCCCCCTTTCAATCACAGGCAGGGAAAGCTGCTCCCCAGCTGAGCAGGGAAGGCAAGTAGACAGCTCTTTCTGTTATTTACTGGGGTACAGCCCAGCCCTGTTCCACACACCTCATTTGTACAGAGAACAATAGTAGTGCTGTGCTAAAAAAATGTTTATAAAAATGTAAAAATTGAAAAAAATGTAAATAAATCTAGTGGTAATCCACCCCTTGCTACAGGACTGAAAAGGGTTTATCTGAAAACTCAGAGCACTCTGGGTCCTTGGGTGGATACCCCTTGCTGAAGGTTAGAAAAGAAAGCTGGGGCTGTATGGTCCAAGCTCTGAGTGAAACCAGTTAAAAATCCTCAGTCTTTCACTGAAAAGAGATTTTCCACTATAATAAGGACCTCCAGTTTTGGTAAGAGAGCGTGTCCTAGCTTTGGATAACTGGCAGATCTGAGAGGCAGCTCCTGCCTGGGTTGGACTGGCAGTAGCCCACACCATTAGCCCACCACTCTGCTGCTCGCTGCTGCAGCTCAGTTTGCTCCTTAAACTCCTTTTCAGCCTGCCTGAGAAGGTGCTAATTAATGCCATGCAGGAACAAGTCTGGCACTCAGCAGCTGTCTGAAGCAGACCCGGATCCAGTCCCACCAGTGCATGCTGCAGTCAGTCACCTGCTCCTGAGGTGACTTTTGGTCTCTGTCACTGCTGCTGAACCCGCACGACCCCCAGTGCCTCCCTCTCTTTTGTGTGCAGAGATGAAGAAAGTCTGACTTTGCCATCCCTCCCTCTCACTCTCCTCCTCCCTCTATTGATTTCTCTCGGTGGAATTTTTATGACTGCAGCACATCCTCCCCTGGCTGCCGGTTCAGAGGCGGCTCCTCCAGCCGTGCTGCTGGAATGGCTTCAGCACTGCCTGGGACGGCGTGTCCTGCGGGGGACAGCTCCATCCTCCTCCCCTGGCAGCCAGCAGAGAGGAGTGATGGGTCCCCAGCATGTCCCCAGCACAGGAATGACATGGTGAGGGAAGAGATTTTGCCATCCCTGAGTCGCTCTCCGGGCTGATGCTTCACCCTGGTTAGGGGATGAGCAAAGGGGACAGGGACAGGGTCCCAGAGCATGTCCAAGGGGGGAGAATGGGGATAGGTGCAGCACGTTCAGAGGGGTGGCTTTTCCTCCACAGTTCACTCAAAGCAGCCACAGAGTTAAGGACAGAAGCTCTCAGAGGGAAGTGCACAGGCAGGGCCACAGCCCAGAGCCAGGGGATGGGAGAGCCCATCCCAGCACCTGAATCTGCTGGATCTTATAGGAAATGCCCATCCCAGCATCTGAATCTGCTGGATCTTATAGAAAATGCCCATCCCAGCACCTGGATATGCTGGATCTTATAGGAAATGCAGAGCAACCCCAGCGAAGAGAGGAATGATGCGTCTGACTCCACTGAAATCAGAAGGCTAATTAATTACTTTATTATACTGTATTATTCTATACTATATTACACTGAATCTGCACAAGCACCCAACTAAACTCAACTGCCCAGAATTCTGTCACTGTCTGCTGACCCACAATGTGCACACACACCTGGCCATGACAGGCCAAGGAAACAAAACACCATCACTCTGGGTAAACAATCTCCATATTGCATTCTACTTTGGCACAAACACAGGCACAGCAAATGAGATAAAAATTGTTTTTTCTTTCTCTGAGGTTCCTCGCTATGATTCCCAGAAAATCCTTGGGAAGTTGTGCCTTGCTTTTCTCTGTGAAGAGAAATGTGGCCACAGGATCACACTGGGTACTGCTCAGGTATAGGGTATGTGGTGATGGAGACATGTGAAAATGTGAAATAAAAGCAGCATTGGTGCAGCGTTGGGGCCAAAATAGCACAATATTTGACATATTCTCCCCCATCACTGCACGCCCTGTTTGAGTTCATGTGAGTTTACATAGCTCCTCCTAAGTAATATCTCTGGTGTAGGAGAAAGCAACCAAAACTGCAGAGATAAATTAACGTTTGATGTCACTATCACTACTTAACTCCCAACTGGAGGCACTGGTGACATCTCACTTCTGGGCTGGCTGCTCAGTTGTGTCCTGCCTTAAAGTTCAGCATTCAAGTCTGGGATAATCAATGCTAACACTCTGCAAGAGTGGAGGGTCAGCTATCCCAGGGGCTTAGCATTTGTTCCCAAGCCCAGATTTTCAGGAGGGATCAGCATTAAAGAGTTCCTCCTGTGCCATTCATAGCCAGCCTTTGCAAAAGGTGTGGTGCACAAGTCATTCAGCTCTTGTGAAGCATCTGAGCTGTTATTGTCACTGTCCTGTGGTTTGATCTCATTTCAGTGGCTATTATTAGCACAGCTACTCACGAGGCAGAACTTGGGAGCTGAGCTGGCTCCCTTGCCTCCCTGTAGGGAGCCCATTGGGAATTTTTGGCATTTACAAATGTATTTTCTTACAGAATTATCTGAGGCAAGATTTATACAAAAGTGCTGTGGCCTTTGGGAGGACTTTTACCCTTCCAACCTCCTCCCGCATGCTGCTGAGTGAGTGAGCAGCTGTGTGTCCCCACTGGGGCTAAACCACAACAGCTCCTGAAGAATTCAGCACCCATTCCCACCAGGAACCCCCAGTGATGCTGAGGACCTTGCACGGCTGGGGTTCTGCACTGATCAGCTGTGGGATGGTGCTCAGACCCCTCTCTGGGTGTTATTTTGATCCCACTTAGCTGCAGGCATCTGCCACGGTGATTAAAACAGGATGTGCTTGCCCATGGGGTTCCTACAGCTTTTAGGGACTGCTGGAGGGGGATCTCAACATGAAGCAGTCCAGGTTGTGTTATGGAAATTGCTCTTAATAATATATTAAGAATAAACTCTTCCTGACCTTGGGAGCGTCCACTGATCAAAGCTGAGAAGCTGCAGTGTGGCAGGATGAGCTCAGCCCCTAAAACTCAGGGCACTGCTTCTCCATCTCCTGCACCCCTGTAGTTTTTCTCTGCCCCTGACACTCAGCCATCAGAAAGAGACTTCTCAATGCCTCGATTTCCCCATGTGGAAAAGGGTTATTGTAAAATACGCCCCCACCATTACTGCACCATCTGCTGTGCAGCACATGGAGGTTGTTAGCTCCTCTGTGAAGGCACAGGCATTTTTAGTGGCTTTAACAGAAGGAGCTAACGAAGGAAGGAGGATATGCTTTAACAGTTTGGCCACACCATTTGGATCACACACGTGGGGTAGCACACACATGTTGGCACGCATGCAATATTACATCAAATTTCAGTCGTGGAATAATAAACCCAACTCCCCGTGAGGCAAACCCAGAGGGCTGCCTACCCTAAATGCTGTCACATGAGTTTATCCTGTGCTAAGGGATGCCCTGCAGCGTGTCCTCTGCTGGCTGAGTGTGCTCCAGCCCAGCCTTGCTGGCTCTGGGGCACTGTCATCACCTGGCACTGCTGCACACCCCCCATCAGCCCTGGTTTTCCTCATGTGGGCAGCACAGATGCTGGTGGAAACACAGTTCCAGAGAATGGCATGACCTGAAAACATTCAATGGAAAGAATGGTGTTCGGTAAGAGAACATTTGAGAGAAATAAAAGGATGGGGGTATTTCATATTGGAAGAAAAAAAATAATAACAAAAAGATTTTTATTGTGCTCTCAAAGCCTTTCAGTTTTCAAAAGCAATGACCTTGCTGTGTGAAAAGTAATTTCTAAGAAAACCCCAAACATTTTCAATCCAAAAGAAAAGAGACTTGTTCAGAAATCAGCCTGCCCTCAGCACAGAGGAGCTGGGAGCTGGCCCTGTGTGCTACCCTGAGACTTGTTCCTTGGGTTATCTCTGCTCCTTGGGTTATCTCTGCTCCTGGGGTTGTCTCTGCTGCTCTGCCCTCACAGATGGGGAATCAGCCCACATTCCCAGGCAGATCTGGCTTTAGGAACTCTGCTCTGGACCAAGTTCTACCCTGGGTTCAGAGCAAATGTAATTTAGGGCTGCTGCGTTTCAGAACAACAGCCTAAACTCACAGGGTTTGCAGGAGAAGATTTGAAGTGAACAGTGTGTGTTTTCAGGTTACCTTACACACCAAACAAACACAGCTGGGCTCTGCCAAAGCATCCTTTCCAAGTGGCTTTTATCAGGTTTGTGTGTTCGGTTCAGCTGACCCCTCTCAAGAGTGCAATTAGTGGGAACCAGAGGGGCTGGGACCCTGTGGCTCCTCTGCTCCATTTATGAGTTGCTTTTTCTCTATTAAGAGCTCAGCTTTCTGCTAAATGCCAAAGAGAGGAGCAAAGCCA